TTAATACATTTATTAGGGGTTGTGTGATTAGTGATGAGGAAGGTTAAGCTTTATAGGGTGTTTTTGTTTAGGGAGGTTGTGTTGGTTATGCTTTATAGGGGGAGTATGGGGGGGGGGGGGGAGGGAGGGGATTATGTCACTTCATTATCAGCATATAACTTTTTGTGCTTGTAGCCCAAAGCATTATAAATTTATGTATATATATATTATATATAATATATATCATATATATATATATATATATAAAGAATGTAACCAGTGGATAGATATTATGTGACAAAGTTGATAAATACAAAAGGATCGAGGACAATGCTCAGATACTCTTGCGGGTAACCTCATTTACTGGTTAATATTGATTGGTTGCATTCTTTGACATTCATGTGACCTGTTATATCAGTTTTTGCGTATATTTATCTATAAAAATTATCAGAATTCCTTCAATATTATTGTGACTAAATGCTGATTGTAATCACTTTTCTTTGAAGTCATAAAAAAATTGTTGTTGCATGTTGAGAGAAATGTAAGGCAGGAACGGGCAATGTGCTTATTATGTGAAGAAATATTTTGCAAATTTTTAAAATTTATCGGTAATTTGTTTTCCTCGTATTTGGCTGTATACGGTTAATTTGTAACTCAGTAATTTCAAGTGGAATTGTATGGAATTGAATTGGGTATTGGAACATTCACATTCGAGTTCTATTCAAATACTTTCATGGCAAGTAATCCATGTAGATTCTACACGAGCTGATCTATCCTTTTCCTTTGAGAAAGTAAAGCATTACCCCCTCGGCCCTCGAGTTCCGTTGTTAAGCTGTCCGCCTGGGGTCTGCGAGTCTATTGAAGTTCCATTGAATTTGATATGCTCTTTAGTTGAAGCCGCTGCCAAATGGTCTAACCATTAACACCTTTAATTCTTGTGACCTACGAGGGAGGATTGCAAGTAGATTCTAAACAAACTAATCCGTCCCTTTCCATTTTTTCCTCTTCGTTTGTTGCCTGTTCCTCTTGAAAAACAAAAGCATATTCTACTCTCTGTCTGCCAACTAAAAGTTCCGACGGAGCGCGGCTCTCCCAAGTCCGTTCAGGTCACTCGAGTCCTAACACGCCTATCCGAGACGGAAGTGGGACTTGAACCCTACTTCCCTGAACACCACTGTACTAATACTAACAACATCAGGGTTAGTTGCACACAGGTAGGGTCGCTGTTTTAAACTTTTAGTTGGCAGACATAGACCCCTTTACTGAAGTTCTCTTAACTCTTTTATCCTGGGTAAAATTTTGGAAGATTTCGCCCTTGGGCGTGTGAAATTAGTGAATCTATAAGAGAGTGAAAGAGCTGTTAAGTTTCCCCCCCTTCTCACCGAGGGGTAGTAATTAGTTTCAAAACAGCCATACCACAGAATCATACTAGCGCCAAGCAACTACATCACTTGAAAGATTGTTCGTGTGGTTTCTTCTGTATGCAGCTCCCTCGTCGAGCTCAAAACATCAAAGAACGAACAGCCAATGTCGAAGATGAGACCACAAATTTTATGTGAATATTGATACGTCTTCAGTATGTTGCCTGATCTCTACATCAAGAGAATTATACTATTTTGTTTTGTTTTGTTCTTATTTCAAGATTCAAGAAGAGGTACGATGCCTTCACATTGTTGAAAAGCATGCCAACGAAGGGAACAAGGACTTGTCAGGCACACTGTACCTGAAGAATTATATCTTGATGATGCTGGATTTGGATAGAGATCTTGAGAAATGTGGGCTAATGTCACAGATGAACCTGTCTAGTAACACTGATATGGTATCCCACTGCTGACTGTAATCTCACATTATGCTTTTATGCTCAAGTATGATTTGTATATTGTCGGTGATAAATTTACCATAGCTGATATGCGTAGAGTTTTTATAAAAGTTTTCCAAAAAACCTAGGCTAAGTTTCAAACTACATATATATTGTAGTATGTATTTTAATAATAAAAATACATTGCAGTCCAATGGTAAAAACCTTTTTGAACAAATCAAAGGTCATGGGTTCAAGGCTTCGGCAAAGCCTCAACTCATTTAGTTAACGATTCTCCATACGTTTAAATTCGGGCTCAGACCCAGACCCAAATTCGGGTCGTGGATCGAAACTAATTGGGTTGAGGTACTATGATGTGCAATGGGTGTTTTGTAGGTGCACGTTGGCATCAGGGTGCAGAGGTGGTGCCCTACTGGCCCTTCGTCGGCTGCAACTCGGACCGCCACGCGCCTCAACTCATTTAGTTAACGATTCTCCATACGTTTAAATTCGGGCTCAGACCCAGACCCAAATTCGGGTCGTGGATCGAAACTAATTGGGTTGAGGTACTATGATGTGCAATGGGTGTTTTGTAGGTGCACGTTGGCATCAGGGTGCAGAGGTGGTGCCCTACTGGCCCTTCGTCGGCTGCAACTCGGA